CTCCGTCCAGCTATTCCACCGCTATACTTCGGCCAGCTGGAGCTGTCATTTCTTCGCGGCCGCCATTTGCGGCCGGCTTCTTCCTCCGCCCGACTTGCAAGGGCTTCACCCGAGTTCGCTGATCCCAACCGCCGTTAAGGATAGCTCCTCAGGACGCCTTGTTGTTCCCGGTCTCCCTCCAGGGAACCAGGGACCCCTAAGGATCTGTCAGGCGGTCGGGAACGGGTACAGACGCTCCGGAGAAACGTCCAGCACACCCGTTCTTCTTGACAGCTGGCCCCGCCAGCTCTATTAACTTTTAAAAGTTTTTAAAAACATTCATTATAGAAGTATGAAAGTCATTGTTTTTTTTCCCTTTGTTCTGGGGACATATAATTGAAAAGAACATGAGAAGAGATTTAAAAGAATACTTTTTAAAAAGGAATACTAGTCTGTATTCCTCTGCTTGAAAGTTTTACAGCCAGATAAAAGATGAATTCTTCTGAGTTCACTGACATAAATGATTTTTTTCAAAAATATTTTAAACTTCTGTATTTTCAACCTTTTACTTTCAGTCACCTGGAAGAGGTCCAATCCACTCTTAGTCTATAGGTTCAGCTGTCAGTTTTAGTTTTCCTTCCTTCCTTCCTTCCTTTTTTACAGCCTAGTCAAGGAAGGCTCAATAAAATAGGGAGAGGAATATAGTTCAAAAGGATATGAATAAATGAGAATATTAACATTAATTCTTACTCAAGACCTTTCTGTATAAACAATGTAGAATGAGGCCAGATAAAATGTAATCCAAGTCTATTGAAGAATCTGAGCATTAATGTTAACCCCTCTTCCCCATAATGTAAACAAAATAGGAATCTCTAGTTCAGTACTCCATTAGTTGTTAAAATGTACATATAAAACAGCAAGATCACCAGGAGACATATGTATGAATACTTGATGATAGCTAGTTCATGGGGAAAAAACCAGATTATTCTGGGTAGTAAATTAAATTTGGAAGGGTTTTGTTATTTAATATTGAAATGCTTAGGAGGAATGTCCAAATGTGACTAAGTAACTATGCATCTTATTTTTGAAACAGTTGAATTATTTGTTCTATAATGGAAACTATTTCATTGTAGGGAATGTATACAATATACGTAATCTTTTGAATAAAGAATGTGTCATCCTCTTCACACAGTTGAAAGGAAAAGGTATGAAAAAATGTTTTTTTAGATTTAGTTTTAGTTGAAGTAGATATATTGAAATCAAGAGATGTAAATTCATGACTAGCTTAAGTCCCATTGATACTTTTTGTGATAAGTCTGAATACTCTGCTTTTCAAACTCATAACGCTTTTTATTTCTAACTTGCAATGTGGGGATTGTTACTAATCTTAGTTATCTCCCTCCTATCCTTTCCCTCTTACATTACATAGTGTGATTGACAACATCTTAAATTTCCTCCCCTCCCCCATTGTAGTTTAATTTTTTTGCGCAAAAACTGGGTTCTCAGTATTTTTGTTTTTCCTTACTTGTGTTCAATTAAAACATAAGTAGTGTGTTTTGTCTTTGGGGGGCAGGTTTTTATAGCTCTGAGCAGTTTTAATTATTCTGTTTTAACTCTATGTTGGCATAGAGATGGAATACCTGAATGGGGATTTCAGTCTCCCTCAAATCAAGTTTGCATCCATGTGGGGGTTTTTGGGCAACAATACGGAAGTAATTTGCTATTACCATCTTCTGGCATGGGACTGGGTATATGTATGGGGTTTGGGGGTTTTGGGACTTCTCGGGCTACTCTTTTGCCCAAGGATTTCCTACTGGTCTTCTATACAAGAATTAATGAGGTTAGATCCAGTTCAGCTGTTTTGAAGATCAGCCAAAGCTGTCTTGATACTGCTACCATGTTTTCCCCAAAATAATACCCAACCGGAAAATAAGCCCTAGTGTGATTTTTCAGGACACTCGTAATATAAGCCTCACTCCAAATATAAGCCTCAGTTAAGACCGTCAGGCAGACGGATGCATTTAGTACCGTATTTCACTGAAAATAAGTTCTAACCAGAAAATAAGCCCTAATGCGTCATTTGGAGCAAAAATTAATATAAGACCCGGTCTTGTTTTCAGGGAAACATGGTACTTGCTGTCATGGATATTGAGAAATTAATATATGTCAGAGCTTATCGGGTGATGATTCTGAGCTGTCAAATTCCTTCATATATCCTTCTGTGCTTTTTCACAGAACTTCTTGACAGTTAGGAAGTATGCTTATGGAGCAATTAATTTCCAAGTAAAAAAATTTGGAACTTTTTGAGCTTGTGAAAACTAGTATTCACTATATCTTGGATAACTTAGAAACAACTGTATTATAAACACAAAAAAAGAAGAGGGAAATGACTAACAGAAGTGACAAATTTAGAAAAGAAGCATGGTTTAAATCACCTGATTAGCATAAACTTACTGCATGGGAGGAGACAAGCTCTGTAGTAAATGAGCTTTGCAGTCACTTTCATGCAAACTTGGGAAAAGATTAAGTGCCTAGCTAAATATAAAAGATTAATCTCTTTTTCACATCTGCCAAATGTTAAACAGAAGGAAAATTCCATAAATGCAGCCATCCTTGAAAATGCCTAATTAATTTGAGAGATCTTAAGTTTTTCTTTTTATAGTTTTACTGGACCTCTGCTTGGAATATATGGACATTTTTGCATAACAGAAAACAAGTTAAGGAAGGCCCTATTGAAGATTTTTGTCTTCACTGTTTTCTTCTGCTTGAAATATATAATTTGCCTAGTAAAATCTTGCTGGAAATGGCTTATAAATTGTAATTAAAACATAGAAATAAAAAATAGATTTTTAAAATGTCAGGATAGTGAAATGGCAATATATTACTTGAATGAGCTCTTCTTCTAATTTTAGTTAGTTAAAGAGTGAAAAAATACCTTGCTGTTTAGTGCATATCTATACATTATTTGCATCCAAATTCAAAATATTTTAGATGAGACTGACATATATACTCAGATGACAGCATTTTAGTGCATATTTACTTCTAATTATTACAGATAATTTGATTTAAATTAGCATTAGAGCACGGGTGTCAAACTCGCCGGGTCACGTGACATGTTGCAATATATCACAACTTTTTTTTGCATTGCCGGAGCTGGGGTGGGCGCGGCCTCTGCATGATGCAACTAGTCCACAGGCCGGCAATTTGACACCTCTGCATTAGAGCAACAGCTATAAATTCTGTTTTTATTGTCTAATGATTATGTGGGAGAAACTAACATAATTGGAAAATGTTGTGAAAGATTTGTATGTTAATATAAATAACCACATTATCTTATTTCCAGAATAGTAATCTATAATGTAAGCTTGAACCCATAATTCTTGGATTGACTTGAAGATCATCACCTGCTTAAAAATTGAAGAATTCTTGAAATCCCCCTTTTTCCCAGATGTCCTCTAGTTTTACTGTAGTAGTTAGCATTTAAACAGTAAATTTATGGCTATTTTGTACATTCTGGTGGTTTATACATTCTGTTCTACCATTTTTTTTAATGAAGTTGTTTAAAATGTTATATAGAATTAAAATAAAGTTATGTTGATAAAGATTTATTTTATGTGAGTTTCTCTTGAAATGTAGGAAGTTTTATTTTCAGGAATGTAGCATGAATGTTTGTCAGAATTGTTTATGTTAACTTTCTTTGATTCAAGGGCTTTTCAGAATTTTACATTTGAGGGATGTTAAGTTTTAAATACAATTTATTACAGGGGTTGCCCGGTATTGCATTCCAAGCATGTAATAACTATGTTCCAGAGACCATGCAGTGGCTATCCATAGATAGGAGTAGGAAAGAGATTCCTTGTATCTAAGAATGTCAGGCATAGTTCAGTGCAACACTTGTTTTGCAGCTGTCTTTCGCAGTACCCTTTTCAATCTTTGAAACTATCCTATCTGTAAACAAATCACTAGTCTACAAGGACAGATTATTTATCTAGGGTCTGTAATTTCTGCTCTTCAGGCAGAAATTAGGTGTCCAGTTCAGCCCTTCTACTCCACTGAGCCTCCAAGCTATCAGCCCACTCTACCACAAAGATCCTGCAGGAGAAGGGCAGTGTGGAGAACCGTGGGATCTGGCAGGGTGAGAGCTGTGAACCATAAGCACAAAGCTTTTTTTGTGTCCCTGCACAACAGATACAGTGCCCTTGCTGACCTTAATAGGGACATTAAGGAGACAGGTAAAAGTATTCGTGATGACAACTCAAATAAGCAGGGGATCTTGGTCCGAGATGAAGAACTTGTTTTCTACAGGGAGAAGTGCGAATCAGGTATTACACATCAGTCATGCAAGAACAGAAAGGCACCCAAAAAGAGAAGCCACCTTCTGGTTGGTGATTCAATTATAAAGGATGTAAATTTAGGAAAGGACACAGAGGTTTCAAAAGAGGTCAGGTGTCTTCCAGGTGCTACTGCCAGATCCCTGTTCTTCGCATAAACATTTTATTAGTTCTTACGGTCGTTCCTGACACTACACCTCCGATAACATGTAGAACCGTGATTGCTAGACAGGGTTTTTCTACATGAGTGACACGTCTTACTGAAGGTCTCGGACCCCGTCCTTGAATCGTCTTATCCGACATCCGTTATTTTTTCAGAGGTCTTACCAGTGTATAAGAACCAAAATGGAAAAGGCCAGCGTATAGCACAATTCAATATGTGGCTAAAGGAGTGGAGTAAAGGGGAAGGCTTTGGATATATTAGTCACGATGTCAGCAGCTGGTCCAATGAAAAAATGTACAAAAGAGATGGTTTACATCCATCAAAAAAAAGGGACTGAGTTACTTGGCTATAAATTCACAGATTTTCTGGAGGAATATTTAAACTAAACAGCGGGGACAGTGAGCTAACTGATACAGAACATTTCTGTTCCTGGCAATCTAAAAATTATAGGGCTATCAGTGCATGTAACATAGATGTGTGTGTGGACAAGAACATCAACCTTGCTGTTAAGCAAAATCAAGCTCTTAATAGCGAGTGCCACACAAAGTGCACTAACCAAATAGGTGGTAAGACATTAGGGGAACTCAGGCACCACACAGGTTATGTAGAAAGTAAACACAGGGTCAGTCATAAAGGACTCAAATGTCTATACACCAATGCACAGAGTATGAACAGCAAACAGGGTGAACTAGAAATTCAGGTTAATGAGGGCAGATATGATATTGTTGCCATTACAGAAACATGGTGGGATGAAACCCACAAATGGAACACACAGCTAGAGGGATTTAAATTATTTAAAAGAAACAGACCAAATAAAAGAGGAGGTGGAGTTGCTCTCTATATAAGAAATAACTGCATCTCTACAGAAATAGAGCACAACAATGATGAAAACTGTCCTGAATGCATATGGGTCAATATAAAAGGGGGGGGGAAACGAAATTGCCATAGGTGTATACTATAGGCCACCCAACCAAACACAGGAAATAGATGAACTTTTTGCTAGTCAGCTAACTAAGGTATGTAGGACGCACATCACAATAGTAATGGGGGACTTTAACTACCCTGACATCAACTGGGACACAAACTCTGCACCAAGTGGAAGATCAAACAGATTCCTGACAAACCTTTGTCTCCCAAAAAGTAGAGAAGGGAACTAGGGGATTAGCCATTTTGGATCTAATTTTCACTAACAGAGATGAAATGATAGAAAGTGTTGAAGCCATGGGAATCTTGGGAGGAAGTAATCATGCAATATTGGAATTCAACATTATGGAAGCACAAGCAATAGAACACAGTCAAATTAGAGTCTTGGACTTTAAGAGAGCTAATTTCAATAAACTTAGAGAGGGTTTGGGAGGGATTCCATGGATGAGAATCCTCAAGGGGAAAACAACTCAAGAAGCTTGGGAAATTTTGAAAAATGAGATAATAAAAGCCCAGTCTAGCACAATACCAAAAAAGAGGAAAAATAACAGCTCTCAAAAGAAATTTATGCATGGCTGCATAAATAATTCTCTGATAAATTGAAAGATAAAAAGGACAAGTATAGAAAGTGCGAAGGGGCACATAACTAAGTCAGAATATTAGCAAATAGCCCGAGCCTGCAAAGATGAAGTGAGGAAAGCTAAGGCTCAAAATGAACTAAGGCTTGCGACCAAAGTCAAAAATAACAAAAAAAAAAGCTTCTTTCAACATGTAAAAAACAAGAAAAAAGTGAAGGAAATGATTGGTTCATTAGTGGATGAAAGTGGCAAGAAGGTGACAAGCAACAGGGAGAAAGCAGAACTATTTAATTCATTTTTTGCATCTGTCTTTACACAAAGGGAAAAAACCAGATCAACCTATCAAAAATAGTGCCATAAAAAACAGAATAGAAACACAAGTTAAGATAGGCAAGAAAATGGTAAGTGAGCCCCTGTCCAGCCTAGACGAGTTCAAATCGCCAGGACCAGATGGATTACACCCCAAGGTTCTCAAGGAACTGGCAGATGTGATCTCAGAACCACTGAACTATATTTTTCAAAGATCCTGGAGCACTGGGGAACTACAGGAGGACTGGAAAAGAGCTGATGTAGTTCCCATCTTCAAAAAAGGGGAAAAAATGGACTCAGGAAATTACAGACCTATCAGCCTGGCCTCAATACCTGGGAAGATTCTGGAAAAGATAATCAAACAACGAATCAGCGAACACCTAGAGGCAAACAAAGTCATTACTAAAAGCCATCATGGGTTTGTCAAAAACAGATCATGCCAGACAAATCTTATTGCATTCTTTGACCAAGTGACAAAATTAGTGGATCAGGAATGCTGTGGATATAATTTACTTGGACTTCAGTAAGGCATTTGATAAAGTAGATCACAACCTACTACTTGACAAGATAGAAAAGTGTGGGTTAGACAGCATCACCACCAGATGGATCTGTAGCTGGCTGACCGGCCGTACTCAGCGTGTGGTCCTCAATGGAACCGCATTTACATGGAGGGAAGTGTGTAGTGGGGTGCCCCAGGGCTCTGTTCTGAGCCCGGTGCACTTCAACATCTTCATCAACGATTTGGATGAGGGGATAGATGGGGAACTCATCAAATTTGCAGGCAACACCAAGCTGGCAGGAATAGCCAACACTCCATAAGACAGGCTTAAGATACAGAGGGATCTGGACAGACTTAAACATTGGGCACTATCTAACAAAATGAAATTCAATGGTGAAAAAAGCAAGGTTCTACATTTAGGCAAGAAAAACCAAATGTACAGGTATAGTATAGGGGGTACCTTGCTCAATAGTAGTAACTGTGAGAGGGACCTCAGAGTCCTAGTGGACAATCACCTAAATATGAGCCAGCAGTGTGCTGCAGCTGCCAAAAAGTTCAACACAATACTAGGCTGCATTAACAGGGATAGAATCAAGTGAAGTGTTAATACCACTTTACAATGCCTTGGTAAGGCCACACTTGGAATACTGCATCCAGTTTTGGTCACCACGATGTAAAAAAGATGTTGAGACTCTAGAAAGAGTACAGAGAAGAGCAATAAAGATGATTAGGGGACTGGAGGCTAAAACCTAAACAATGGTTGCTGGAATTGGGTATGTCTAGTTTAATGAAGAGAAGGACGAGGGGGGACATGATAGCAGTGTTCCAATATCTCAGGAGCTGCCACAAAGAAGAGGGAGTCAAGCTATTTTCCAAGGCACCTGAAGGCAGGACAAGAAGCAACAGATGGAAACTAATCAAGGAGAGAAGCAACCTAGAACTAAGGAGAAACTTCCTGACAGTTAGAACAATTAACCAGTGGAACAACCTGCCTCCAGAAGCTGTGAATGCTCCAACAATGGAAGTTTTTAAGAAGAGACTGGACAGCCATTTGTCCGAAATGGTATAGGGTTTCCTCCCTGAGCAGGGGGTTGGACTAGATGACCTCCAAGGTTCCTTCCAACTTTTATTTATTTATTTAATAATAATAATAATAATAATAATAATAATAATAATAATAATAATAATAATAATAATAATAATAATAATAATAATAATAAAAAGTTGGAAGGGACCTTGGAGGTCATCGAGTCCAACCCCCTGTTGTGGCTCCGTCCGGTGGGTCCCTCTCATCAGAGGAGGAAGGCTCTGAACATGACGGAGAGGAGATGGCTAGGCCTCTCTCTCCCGGCCCTTCCCCTCTGGTGCAGCCTTCGGTGCCTTCCGACAGCGAGGAGTTTGGCCAGGAGCCCGGTGTTTCTGGGATTGGCCAGGAGCCCGGTGTTTCTGGGATTGGCC